ATTTTTTTTATTATTTCAAATGCCCTTGCTTTAAAAGGATCATTTGTATCTAAAATGTTTTTTTTTATAATAAGAAGGTATTAATGATGATGGTGATGGTGATTTATGATGTGAATAAACAATAACAATAATAAACAATATAAATAATAATATTGATAATAATAATAATTATATCAATAATAATAACAACAACAACAATAATAATAATAATAATAGCAATAATAATAATAATGATAATAATAATAATAGTAACAACAACAACAATAATAATGAATATAATAATAACAATAATAATAATAATAATGATAATAATCATAATGATAAAAATAATAATAATAATAATAATAATAATAATAATAATAATAATAATAATGAATAATTTAGTAGTAGTAATAATAACAATATCAATAATAGTAATAATAGTAATAACAATAATAATAACAATGATAATAGTAATAATAAAATCCCGCAGAAATGCTTCTAACTTTCGAAATAACCTTCTGAATTCGCTACGATCTCTGCCTCTCTTTCTCTTTCTCTCTCTATCTCTTCCACGTTTTCCACTCCCTACATTCGTTCTCTGTCTCATGAAAATTAAACAAAATGAATTCACTCTACAGATAAATTTCACTGAATAAATCTAAAATATCAACCAAATAACATGGGAACCAATATATTTAAGGAAAATTCAGTTTCAGAAAATAAACCATCGCTCGCTAAAAATTAAACTCTGCATTCTTTATGATCTCTGAAGGAAGCACAAGAAAATTTGCTTGACATATATTATTCAAATTGCTTTTCCTTTCCTTTCGTCTTTCGAGAGATGATGGGAGTTCCCAGTCACTTAATAAAACAGTGGGCAGTTTGCTTCTGATATCTTTTTGTGATTGGATTTATATATTTGGCTATCTGTCTGTCCGTTCAGTCGTTTGTCTATATGTTTCAATTATAAGCTGGGGCACACTAAGTCATAACTAAGTCATACCTATATGACTTAGTTATGCACGCACACACGCACACACACGCACACACACACACACACACACACACACACACACACACACACACACACACACACACACACACACACACACACACACACACACACACACACACATACACACACACACACATACACACACACACATACACACACAATTATTAGGAGGTTTCATGGGATACTGTAATAAAAACTCCGTTCAGAAGACATGATAAAGTAGACTTGACTTTAATAATAGCACCAATACATAGTTACCAGTGACGTTCAAGGTCGCACAAAATAATAATATTAATGATATTAATCAGGAGTGATTGTATCCTATTGCATCGAGATGGTAGATGGCAGGGGAGGGCAGGGAAAGGGAAGGCAAAAGGGATGGGAGAGAAGGGGAAAAGGGGAAGAAGCGAAGGGGAAGGGAGAAAGAAGGGGAAAGGGAGAGAGGCTTCACTGTCTCTTGCGATACACACAGTTGCTGGAGGCGTTAGGCTGTCAGAGTTCGGGAAAGGAAGAGGCAAGTAATTGACAAAGATCTTCAGGTGTTTCCTCGCTCGTACGAAGGAAGTTTGGCAACACCTGAAGCCTTGGCAGGAAAAAAAGAATCGCAAATATTTTTCATATTCATTTTGTAAGATCTTATTGCCCTAGTTGAAGATGTCAGTGTGATATATCCTTTTTTTACATTTATTATTGCTATCGTCACTTTTTTATTATCAATCTGCCTTGGGAAGGCAAATAACAAAGACAAGTTCACATCATCGTATAAAGACAGAGAAATACAGAGACGACTCGCCGTCCTGTGTAAAATGACTGCTTACATCATACAGAGACGATCCAGTGTCACCATCACACACAGGAATTCTCTTAAGTGCTCAAGAGAGGGAGAACATTCTAAATAACTCAACCTTCATACCACAGCGGCGGCCCCTTCTGCAGGAGGTGAGGGGCGCCGCGCACGTGAGGTAGACAAGGTTATAGTCGACGGCGAGCAGCTACCCGCTCCGCCGTCACGGCTATACACAGATGGGACCTCCAAGCACGTACACACGCACACATGTCATTCACACGCAGGATAAGATACATAGCACGTCATGAACAAACAGGTTGTTTGTGCGTGACGCATGTGTCATCACACTGGCGGGGCAAACGTAGGTCTAGCGGGTAACTGAATGGCTTGTTGTGAAAGGATCAATTCACTCTCAATCTCACGCTACGTGTGCTCTGCCTGTGCGCGCTCTGTCAGGTGCGCCAATCCTGCGGGCGCTCTGCCTTCGCTAATCTCCGGAGGAAACAAAAGTGCGCCTTTTGTGCACAGCGATTTGGGTACACAATACAAGACATTGGGTGATTAGAAAGGAAGAAAGGAAAGGGATGGAGATGTAGAGGGAGATAGAGAGGAAGAAGGAGGGAGAGATTGAGAGCTTGAGAGTTTGAGAGAGAGAGAGAGAGAGAGAGAGAGAGAGAGAGAGAGAGAGAGAGAGAGAGAGAGAGAGAGAGAGAGAGAGAGAGAGAGAGAGAGAGAGAGATGGATAGATAGAGATCCAATCACAATCGGCACAGATTCTGCACTTTCGAAAAAGCGATTACAAATTATGTTCCCAATACATGACAAATCAAGATCTCCCTGTTTTGCAATTCAATCTGATAAATACACTTACAAATTAATATCACTGAAAGATTCCCTTTGATTAGCGAAGGCCGACAAGAGATCCTTATTTGTGCATTCCAAACCAATATTGCACATTTTTTTTAGTAAACAGAAGCAACCTATAATCACAATATTGCTTGGCCTATACTATGATCACAATGGTTATTTTTTTCTTGAAACACTTAAGCTATATATGACAAGCGGAACTTAAGTATACATAGATCTGCTTAAATCTACGTGCGAAACAGCCCACGTTTTTCAGCCACATGGGTATTCGTGGGAGAGTTCTACACTCTGAATTCTTCTCTATCTCTCGTTTCTGCATGGGCACTGAAAGCCAGGGAGCATCAAGGGCACATGTAAGCAGAGTGGAAGCACTGTATACACGTGTGCACCGAAGAACATTATCGTACACAGCCATCGAAACTAAGTCTCACAGTTGATTGACTAAATCTATCTATAGATATAATCTAGAACACATAATCTGGTTACAATGCAGCACCACAGGCGCCTAGACCCGTCGGGGTCCGAGTCGCATGAACTATTTACACATTTCTGCACTAAGACTAGACCTAAGGTTATATTGTGTAGTAGTTGTCATTTGAAACTTCCTGTTTGATTTGCGTTGCGTGGAAGCTGAAGCGCTCCTGCTTCACGGACTGGGCTTGGTTGGCGGGGGGCGCGGGGGGCGCGGGGGCCGGGGGAGGGGGGCTCGCCGCCTGCCCGCTGCTGTCCGGCTGCGGAGGGGCGGGGCCCGGGGGCGGGTTCAGGGCGTTGGGCATGGCGTTGTGGAAGGAGGAGGAGGCCTGCCCGTACTGGGGGGCGTGGCCGTTGTGCTGGATGTGTGTGATTTCAAGCGCGGGATGTGTGGTGTTATTGTTGTTGTTGTTGTAGATGGCGAGGCCCGAGGACTGGGGCAGGGAGGGGCACAGGGACGGCTGGTTGTGGTAGGGGCGGTAGGCGGGGCTAAAAGGCGAGGTCTGCGCGGAGCTGGACGGCGATTCGTGGGGCAGCATGTGGTGGGAGGGGTCCAGGGGCTGCGGGCAGGGCGGCAGGAGGGGCGCGGGGCGCTGCCGGATGCCGTGCTGCTGCAGGAGGTGGGACTGCAGGTACTGACGCGTCTTGAAGGTCTTGGCGCACACGCCGCACGCCACCCACTCCCCCCGCCCGTGCACGTTGGCCACGTGCTGCTTCAGGTTGCCTACTGTGCTGTAGCTGCGCCCGCACTCCTCGCACCACGGCCGCTGCTGCTGGAGCTCCTGCTGCTGCCCCTGCTGCAGGCCGTGCTGGGGGTGCTGCCACATGTGCAGGTTGGCAGGAGGGGCCGCGGCCGGCCCGCCCGCCGGGAGCTGCGCCCCCTGTTGCAGAGGGGGAGGGGGGTCAACCCCCCCAAGCTGGGAGAGCAGCACAGACAGATCGAGGTCACGTGACCCCGCGCACCCTGCAAGTGACGCCAGCACTGTGGTCAGCTGATCTCTTATGGACTTTGCCGTCAAGTTTAGTGTGAAGCACAGAATTTGAATTTTGAACTATTTTTAAATTCAGAAATTTAAATCACTCTATGAGAAGGTTTGTTTTTAATGAAAGATAAATGACAAATAGATTTAATAATCTGACAAGTAATAAAGAGAGAAGGTATAAGAACCATGCAGTGATGAACGTGACACTCAGAAGAAACAAACGTGTAGCGACTGAACAGTGAAAATTCACACCAATGTAGCAATATCAAGAGATAAAAAGGAGATAAAAATCACTAGTAAAAAATTCAAAGAGCTGCTAACCACAGTACCCGACACCACAGCGGGTCTCAACTCACCCTTCTGCCTCTCGAGAGCGCCTTTTGTACAAACCTTAAAACTAACAAAAATAACCACTTAGGAGTAAACCAAGCAGTCCAAAAAGACAACTACTGTCATTGTTTTACTTCTCTGTATCTTTAAAAAAATCCTTTCGACATTACTCTAAATCGATATTGAAAAAAAAGATTGCAAGGTAACCGAAACTAACCGCGGCCTTAATACTTCAACGGTGACATTTCAAATATTATTAGTAATTTGCATCTTAAATCACATACGCGATTAGGCTTTTGACACGAGAAAAAAAGTCGATTATCATTTTTGAAATCTTCTCGTGAATATTGGTTTTGTTTGGTCTTATCAAGAGTTATATAAATACATGTATAATTGGAGTTATATCTATTTCTATATCTACCTATATATCAGTCTCTATCTATCTATATCTGTCTCTCTATCTATCTATATATCTTTCTATGCATGTACGTATATCTGGAGTGAGTGAGAGGGAGAGAGCGAGAGAGAGAGAGAGAGACAGAGAGAGAGAGAGAGAAAGAAAGAG